TCATTTTCATGGGCAGTCTGCTGCTTTCCCAGCTTCTTAGAAATTTCCAGTGGTTTGAAGATCACTCATCAATAACCTATCTTTGAAGAAAAGCTGTAGAATCTGTCTCCAACTTCATTGAAATTAATGCCTTGGCGCATCTGTCTTACTTGCAGTCACTGCATTCTTATACTGATTAGACGTCTTCAATTTCGATCTCGTTTATTGATCACTACGAAGTTCCTATCTTTTTCCACTGCTGGAGAACTGCAATCACACTACTTGATTACTAGTTTTGTAATATGTTCGCATCGAAATCTATCAGTTCATGCGTTCTCTCTAATTGACGGTCGATAGTAAAAACACTGTGTTGATTCCATGCTATATCGAATGGTTGAATCTTACTAGAGCTTAGTGTTTTTAGAACTCTTTGTCCTTGCTATGGTATTTATTTCAATAAAAGATGTCAGTTTTCATGTCCTTATTCGTATCATGCTTGAGATTTATCTATGAGTATGAAAAAATTCTCTTCATTGCAAGCATAGATTAGTTAATGATTCACTATCTGTTTTTTTAGATTATCTTATCGCCCAGTAGGCTCGTCTCCTCTTTTACCAACAAGTCGCCTTCCAATGACTTCTCAAATATGAACTCTAAAAAGATTATCATGATTTTATCTAAACAACCTGTATTTCGCGGAAAGAAAACTTCAAATTTTAGTTTTATGTTGTTATCGTTGGTAAGCGGTATTTCATCCATTGGACTCAGTGTGCATGCATAATTTGCTTAACTTTCTTTTGAATTTTCTTAAACAAAATTGTACATTTTTCTAGTTATTATAAGTTACAGTTTTACTACTATTAATCTCAGCAGATATTGCTTTTGACATTAACTCAAGATCTGCTTTACAGCTATGCTTCTTACCATATCTTAAGAAGTAGAGCATTATCATTGTCGCGTTATGTCTGTCCTTTTTTGACTTATGATTGTACCGTTGGACAAAGTATTTACTTTATTTCTCATCACTTCAGGGTAAGATCTATTCATGGTATAACTTGTTGTTATTAGGTTGATTCATAGGTTCATCATTGACGAGATCAAACCTCGGATAATCACACACACATATCTCAGATTGTTCTTCAAAAAGACAATGGGCAGCACTGCGGATTTGTTGCGTGCTCGATTCAGTTCTGAAGAGGTAAAGACTGTTACAAAAGGACCACCAATCAAGGCTTATCTTCTCCCAAGCACCGATGCCCATCAGGTATTTCGCAACCTTGCTTACATTTAACAGTGTTTGCATCAGCCGAGTTAAGATTATAGTATTTGAAGTAGTCGTTTATGATTGCATCCTCAAATAGCCAATTTTAGAGCGAATACCTGGCTGAACACGACTTTCGAGTAAAATTCCTTACCGGTTTCACTGGTTCGAATGCTTATGTAGCTGTCACAAATGAGAAGGCGGTGTTGTGGACTGATGGACGCTATTTTATTCAGGTGAAATTGTCGTTTGTAATAATATGGACAATGATTTACATGATAAGTAGAAGAACATCAAATTGTTGAAATATAGATTTGCTTACTTCCACAGGCTTAGCCTTCGCGAACAGCAATCAGTGAAATACTGGAAGTTGAGAAAGTGATTGAAAATATCTCAAAACTAGCTAACATTAAAATGCGTTACTCAAAGAAACTGCTTCTTATGTAAAAAATTATTTTCTCATGAAACAGTTCTCCTGAATCTGGAGCGTTTACTTACCAATCAGTTTTGGAAAATAGAACTTTTTTATCCCATTCTGGCCTGGCTGATCTTTGAATCATATCAGATAATGTGGGCATAAATTGTATCACCTTCTTATGTTATCTTTCTTGATTAAAAAAA